GATGTAGCTCAGTGGCACCGCGCCTGCCTTGCATGTGCAAGGTTCTGAGTTCGATCCTCATTACCAAAAAAGAAATACAAATGTGTAGCCAGGTGTGGTAGTGCACGCCTGTGATCTCAAAACTCAAGAGGCTGAGGCAGGAGGATTGTCATGAGTTCAAGGCCAGACTGAGCTACATAGCTGGGCTATATAGTGAGTTCAAGGCCAGCCTAGACTATACGGGGAGGCCCTGTCTCAAAAAAACAAAAAGAAAAAGAAAATTAACTTTCATTTATATATTCCCATCTAGTCTTCAAAAGATTCTCACACACACAGAAAAGAAATACAAATCTGTTTCCAAAGTCAGGTGCAGCAGCCTGCCTGTCATCCCAGCTACTTGAGACACTGAGGCAGGAAGATTGCTTGAGCTCAGGAGTAAGTCCAGCATGGGCATCAGAATGAGACCCCATCTCAAAAAAAAAAAAGTCCTAAAAAACCTCATTCTAGCAGTCTTTTTGGTGTGGCACAATGGAGCCTTCTGGGTTGAAAGTCGAGCCTTCTCCCGTGTCTGCAGACATTAAAGCAGTGTGTGTCTGTGCAGTGCCAAGAAAGTGCTACTCCGGAAATGCAATTTAACTAAGTAAGTCACTGACCACTAATTCCTCTTCACAAGTGACCATCATAACAAGTAGTCTTGTCGCCCTGCCTGTGCGTGGGAGGCTGAGGTCATTTCTGCTAACAGCACTGACTCCTCTCTTGGGCCTGTAGCTGCAAGGGTAACAACGCGGGAGGAGCCTGGCCCTGGGGAGGCTGAGGCAGGAGAAACGCCGAGAGTTCAAGGCCAGCCTGGAATACACAGTGAGACCCTGTCTCAAAAAATAAAGACATTAAAAAATGTTTTAAAAATCAGTGAAAGTAGGATAACAGCTCAGCATCTCTGCCTTCATTTTGCACCAGTGTCCTCTGCTACCTTAAACTTCCAGTCCGGCTCTTACTCAACTCCACACACGGGCGTTAACCACTTCAGGAGTGGCGTTAATCACTTCAGGAGTGGCGTCTAAAGCTGCTAATCCCCTTCAAGGCCAAGAACACCAGGTGTGGCTAAGATGTCTTCAAGACTTGGCAGGGACATCACGATCCACAGGCTGTCAACCACCAGCTTTTACCACCTCCAGGTCCTGGCCACCGGAGTCCACTCACTGCCCTGAACCTGAAGGCCTAAGCCTTTCTTTGACTTTCTTGCCTTTTTTGTTTTTCAGAGACAGGGTCTCGCTGCGTACTTCAGGCTGATCTCGAACTCACTGTTTAGGCCAGGCTGGCCTCAAAGTCACCGTGCTCCTCTTGCCTCAGTGCTGGAGTCACACCACGCCCCACCCATCTTGCCTCTCTGATCTGTCCTCCCACTCTTGGCTTCAGGAGCCAGGGGTCTGACTGGTAACTGCCTAGTGCTGTGTAGAAAGTCCCTGGGGGGACAGTGTCCTCTTTTGCCACCTCATCCTGGGATAACGAGCTACCAGACCACAGTACAGCAGAGGCTCCATGACTGTCCCTTCTTGTCACCCTTCCCTGTATCGTCTTGGGACTCTCACGGGCCCTTTGCTTCCAGGATAGCTCTGCTGAACACATCCTCTCCTGCCTCCTTACTTTTTCCGCTTGGTTTGGGGGCACACAGGCAGACGTGGTCCCTGGGGACTCCCTCAGCCAGGCCCCCACTGGGCAGCAACTCAGCAGCGCAGCCCTGAGGACACTGCTTTCCCACAGCACTGGCCCCAGCCTCCAGGCGCTGCGCTCTTTCTCTGGAAATGCTGTGGCCAGCACCACGTCCAGCTTCACCACAACTTTAAGAAAAAGGATCTGGAGGGCTGGGGATTTAGCTCAGTGGCACTGTGCCTGCCTTGAAAGCACAAGGTCCTGAGTTCGATCCTGGGTACCAAAAGAAAACAACAAAAATGTAACACTCAGCAGGCATGGTGTCACGTGCCAGGAAGCACAGTACTCTGGGAAGCTGAGGCGGGAGGATCATGAGTTCAATTCCCATCTGGGAGACTTAGCAAGACCCTATCTCAATATTTGATTGATTGATTATAGTAGTAGAAAGTGAACCAAGTGCCTTTCCACTGAGCTATGTCCCTCGCCCTTTTTTATTTTTCTTTTGAGACAAGTTCTCCCTAAATTGGTAGTATGGTAGGCTCCCCAGGCTGGGCACGAACTTGTGACCCTCCTGCCTCAAGCTCCCAGGCTGTGATTATTACAGGCCCGTAACACCACAACCGGCTCATAATTTTTGAAAATGATAAAAGGTCTGAGGATGTAGCCAAGGCCTGATTCAATTCCCAGTACCAAAAACAAACAAGACCCAATGACTTGTGGAGAAACAATAAACAGTGAGACCCTTCTTCAGCTTTGTGGCTCCATCCAAACAGCAGTAACAGTAAGCAGATGACAGTGGCCACTGAAACTGTCACTGCCCCAACTGCCTGTTGGGAAAGGCATCCCTGTTACCTGGGACCCCGCCAGAAGCCCCAGTCTGGGTCCTAATGCCTGGATTTCTTCACTGGCCTGCCATCAATGGTCCAGGAAAGCCAGGTGTGGTGGCGCACGCCTGTCATCCCAGCACTCGGGAGGATGAGGCAGGAGGATCACTGTGGTTTCGAGACCAGCCTGGGCTACATAGTTCCAGCTCAGTCTCAACTACATAGTGAGACCCTGTCTCCAAAAAAACAAAACAAAAAAAATGACCAAATTGGGAGGCAGCTTGTCCTAACTAACAGGAGGAGTGGAGGGCTTTGGGCCCAGGAAACGCAGAGTCCAGTTCCAACCCAACCTGGTGCCAGGGCTGGGGGTAGATGGTTCCTTCTTGGCAAGGGAGAGCTAGGGGCACAGCTGGGCTCTCAAAATATGCATCTTTCAGGCTCCATATCAGCTCATAGCTGTGGCCGATGTCTCGGCACTCTAGGTGACCATGGCCACACATCCGGTACAGTGGCTCCCTGCACTGCCCGGCAGCCTTCCTGGACTTTCTGGCCCCAGAGGATCCCATTTTGTTTTATTTATTTTTGTCTTGGCTTATTTTCCTGTATTATGTATGTAGGGAGAGATAGGGTCTCCCTGTGTAGCTCAGGCTGGCCTCCAACTCGCAACAACCCTCCAGCCTCAGCCTCCAAGTGGTGGAATGACACTCATAGCCCCAACTGTATCACAGCTGGAATGCAGTACTTCTTTCATAGATGTATTTAAAGCGTGGCTGTCCCAAGAGCCGGCCATGTGCAGGGGTCACCAGACGGAGCCTGAGGGGACCCCCAGAGAGCAGATGGGGACCCCAACTCCCCTACAGAGTAGATTCCTGCCTCATCCTTGCAGGGAAAGGATCGGAAGACACATGAGAGGCAGGCTTATTAAGTAGAGCTGGAAGGAAGAGAAAATGGGAACGGGCCACAGCTCTGAGGAAAACCACACTGGCCCGTTAACAGAAAAAATTTTTTAAAAAAGTGAGAACGGCTTCCTTTTGGTTGTTTTCTCTTTTGGTGTCTGAGACAGGATCTCGATGTGTAGCTAGCCCAGGCTGGTCTTGATTAGAGGGGATCTGAGGGCTGGCATCACAGGCAGGTGCCACCACACCAGCCCAACGGAATATGGGAAAGCTCAAATGTGAGCCACAACTAAGTTACCTCAGCACATTCAACAGGGCAAATCAAGGAATGGGGCAACAGAAGAGATACAGGGCTAGATCCTGCCTTTATTTTAAATTTTGATATTTTTTTCATTGTAAATGTTCAATTTATATTTTTAAAGAATACTGTATTAAAATATTAATTAAGCAGAGTGTGGTGGTACACACATGTCATCTCAGCACTCAGGAGGCTGAGGCAGGAGGATCACCATGAATTCAAGGCCAGCCTGAACTGTATAGTGAGACCCTGTCTCAAAAAAAACAACAAAGACAGAGGTCAGGCCTCTATCTTAAGGGCCCACACTCCATTTTTCTTAGTATGTACTTTCAAAATTCTGTCCAATAAATCCCTTTACACCTCCCTTTTAATGGTATTAGTTTTGGGGGGTTTTTTGTTTGTTTGTTTTGGTATCGGGGATGGAACTCAGGGCCTTGCACTTGCCAGGCAGGCACTGTGCCACTGGGCCACATCCCCGGCCTTTTACACCTTTTTTTAAAAGGAAGTCAGACACAAAGGGCCATAGCTTGCGTGACCCACTCACAGGAAGCACACCCGGCAGATGGACGGATAGGAGGGAGGAGCCAGCTGGCTGCCAGGCACAAGGACTGTGCTGGCCGGAAGTGACCCGGGACTCTGGCCCTCAAGCGTCCCCACCACCCTGCAGCAGTGCACAGTCAGTTCCTCGCCCTGTAAGCTTTGCCGGACTCCAAACAGAGGGTTCCTCCCGACTCCAGAGTTCTCTGAATCCACCTCAGTGTTGCGCCTGAGGTGAGGGCCTTGCTGGAAAGAGACGCGGTGGGAACCCAAGGGAATCTTGGTCTGCACACAAAAGTGCAAATCGGCTTCTGTAACAGAAGGACTTTTTCAATCTCTACTTATTATCATTTTGCAGTACTGGAGACTGAACCTCGGCTACACAGTGAGTTCAACACAGCACAGGAGCTCTGCACTGAGCTACATCTTCAGCCCTTTTCTTACCTTTTTAAAATTAATTTATTTACTTATTTATTTTTCCAAGTACCAGGAATCAAACTCAGGACCTTGCACTTGCCAGTCAGGTATGGCACCACTGAGCTAAATCCCAGCCTCACTTTTTATTTTTGAGACAGAGTCTTGTTAAGTTGCTCATAGGAAGCTCGGACTTGAGATCCTCCTGCCTCAGCCCCCCAGCTTGCTGCAATTACAGGTGTATACCACCTGGAATGGCTTAGAATGACTCACTTTTATCCCCAGATGCTTTCAAGTGCATGCCCTGCCACCCTTCCCACACAACAGCAAGGCCGGCAACCCGGGCCCCAGCTCATCTTTCCAATGGAGAGGGTGCACAAGACACAAACACACTTTGCGCCCCACAGGGCTATTGCAGAAAGTTTAATCAGCTATAGAAATCTGACCCACAGGGGCCGCCCAGGAAGGAAGGGCAAACCCTGGCTTCCGGTTCCGGGGAGGAAGCTCCAGAGTCCCGCCGAGCCTCTACATCCAGTGTGGCGAACAGTGGCTCTGGATGTGCGCTGACGTCTTCAGACAGTTCCTTCACCTGCACTGCAACTTCAAAAAGAGAATATAAGTGTTTATCTTCACAAAACCGAAACAAAAGAAGCGCCACCCCAAGTGCAGACACCTCGCTCGAATCTTCTGGCTTACCCTCGCCGGCAGCCCTTCGCTCCCCGAACTGCACTCGAGTCAGCTGATCTCCAGCTCGGCCATCCTGGGCTGCGCGTAGCTGTCACCATTCTCGTTGCTGTATTCATCACTGCATACGAAAGGAACTCAGCAAGGCGAGAAAGAAAACTCTGCGCAATTATATTCCATCATTTTTGGTGCTTGCTTGTGCGTCTCTGAGACAGAATCTCACTCTGTAGCCCAGGCTGGCCCTGATCTTGCAGCAAGCCTCCTGCCTCAGCCTCCTGAGTGCTGGGATGACAGGCATGCACCACCACACCTGGTGAGTGGTCATTATTTTTATGAAGAGAATAAAGGGCACAAGTGTCCCTTCTCATCAAAGGTGTCCCTTGGTGCTATGGTGCTCTGAGCAGCTCACCTGGGGGGTGGCGGGCCCATCTGCTGCAGGTAGGCGCGCAAGTTCCCTGTGGCTGCGAGCAGGAGCCCCAAGTAGGGAGGCGAAGGCTTCATCGGCCTGGAAGAAAACTCAGGGTGGAACTGGACACCAACAAAATAGGGATGATCTGAAATGACAGACACCGGAAGGTCGTCCTGTCCTTCAGTACAGACTTGTGGGAAACCACTATGATTATGACTGACTGTCTTACTTTCATGGATTTTATTTTTGCTTTTTTGAGATGGGGTCTCGCTATGTAGTACAGGCTGACCTTGAACTCAAACTTGAATTTGTGGCGATCCTCCTGCCTCAGCCTCTCGAGTACTGGGGTTACAGGCATGTGCCACCATGCCCGGCTTTCATGATTCATCTGTGAAGTGGAATTCTACACTGTAAATCATGTCTCGCTTACTACACAGTCTGGGGTTTTATTTGTGGACGGTGGCAGAGTGAGCGCCAGCTTCTCCAGTGGATATTAACAACAGCACCACGAAGGCAAGCAACTGGCACGCACGTCATTTCAGTCTGGGTAGCTCGTCTGTTGCGATAATGGGGCTTTATTACAGTGCTGGGCACAGTGGCACACTCCTGTAACCCCAGCATTCAGGAGGCTGAGGCAGGAGGATTGCCACAAATTCAAGTTTGAGTGCAAGGTGGACCTGGAGTATATAGTGAGACCTTGTCTCAAAACACAAGCAAACAGAAGAAGTCTCTGCTATCAAAGGGTGGCCTGGCCTTTGAACATGTCAATGGCAGTCGTGGCCCAAGATAGCGAGAATTCCAGTTCCTCCCTCCTCATCTTCCTGTGTCGTGCAAGCCTTTACAATGCACACCTGCCACACATGCTACCAGGCAGGCAAGTGAAGCTGTTTTCAGAGCCAGGAGTACAAGCAGCCTTAACTCTAGCTCTGCCAGAGGGAAAAGCAGCTTTGCCCCAGTATCTGCAATACTATGTGTTTGCAAAGTAAGAGCTGAACAGACACCGTTCCCCACCTGCTTTGCTGAGAGCCGGGTTCCCTGGCTGAGTGGGCCACAACCCCACTTCTTGACAGGAAGGGGAGCTGCTCCCTCCGCCCCAGGCCCCAGGCCCCAGCCTCGTAACAGCCTCTCCTCCCGTTACTGCACCAACTGTCTGGACCGCATTGACCCTAAGCATAAAAGTGGACAGCTTTCCCTACTACGGCTCTAGGTCTTTTAATTTTTTTTTACAGTTTTAAAAATTCTTTTGATTTCTCGACAAGATCTCTATGAGTTGATAAGTTGCCCAGCTTCTTCGTCTGGTTATAAAGAATGGTGAGTGTAGGGCGATGCTCAGAAGGGAAGCGGCCTGAGAGTGACCATTAGCATCAGAAAAGGCTGGAGGAGCCAGGTCCCGCCCAAAAGCAACTTCAAGGGCTTCGGCATTGGCAGCAAGGTGGGCAGGCAGCCATTCCTCGCCAGACGACGCAAGCAGAGTGCCAGTGACAGCGGCTCCTACAGGGGACTCCAGGAAGGGACCAGGGCAGAGCAAGGAAACTGACTCATTGGAGGACTGCTGCCCTGAGCAAAGCACATCATTTTCTGGTAAGTTCAGATCACCGGGCCCCCAAATGACTAGGACTGTAAGCCCTCTGCTTTTCAAGGCAGTCTGTTTCTTTGTTTTGTTTTGTTTCGTTTTGCTTTTTGAGACAAGGTCTCACTATGTAGCCCAGTCTGGCCTCAAACTCACGCTGATCCTCCTGCCTCAGCCTCCAGAGTGCTGGGATTACAGGCGAGATGTGCACCAGCAGGCCGAGCTGTTTCTCATGCACCTTGTAGCTGCCTATTTATTTCAAAGGGGAGCGGAATAGAAAGACAGCGAAGAAACTCAAGCTCGAATGCATCTGGGGTTGACAAAGCTGTCGGAGCACCTCGGAGCCTTGCAGGAATGAAGAGGCCACTTACTTGCCAGTTCAATGATTTCCATCCGATTCCCGTCAACATCCTGACCCACAAAGGCCAGATCTTTCTGCTCAAAGTGGCTGATCAGGCTAGGGTTCACCTGGAGGTACAAGAACCCAATGTCTTTAAGCCTTGGCACAATACAGACACGGCGGCTTCTGAGGTCCGGCATTAGCTGGATGGATTTCTGCAATCCCCTAACTTGTCTTAATCTCTATCTCCAGCGCCTAGTTTTGTTTTGGTTTGGTTTTTTGAGACAAAGTCTCATTATGTCGTTATGTTGTTCAGGCTGGCCTTGCCCTCGTGGTGATCCTCCTGCCTCAGCCTCCTGAGTGCTGTGATCACGATCACAGGTGTGCACCACCATGCCGGCTCGTTGTTGTTTGGACTGACTCTGGCTAAGAGTGGATAACAAACAGCTTTCTGTTCTTTGCAGCCTGAAGCATCCTGACTGATACAGGCAGTCGGTGCTTGTGGATACCTGTGGTTCTCACATGGCAATCCCAACATTAAAGTGCCCTTAGCCACACGACACTAAGCCTCAGGCTCAATGTAAACTTCCAAAGAGTGTCCTCAACCTAGAGGCCACCACGTGAGAAGGGAAACAGCCCTGTCCCCAAAGGCACTCGGCCCCGCATAAGACCGGAAAGGGAAGGGCTGGGCTTTGGGTGGAGGACAGCAGAGTCGCCGTACCAGGCAGACAACGCACAGCAGGCCTACCTCGTACCGATGCCTGTGTCTCTCCTCAATGAAAGGGACATCGCCGTACAGTTTCCCTGAAAGACAGAGGGACATGAGCGCTGCAGCAATCCACTTTCTTATTACCATTATTTTTATTTTTTAAATTTTGAGGCAGGGTCTCGCTATGTAGCCCAGGCTGGCCTCGAACTCCTGGTGATCCTCCTGGCATGCACCATGCCCAGCACGGGGTGATCATCCTGAGAAGCACACACCATGACACTTACACAGGAAGCCCTGGCGTGTGTTCATCAGATGCTCCAGGTCCCAGGCTCACAGCACTAATCGAAGGCAGGGGTGGCGAACCCATGGCACGCATGCCCCAGCCAGCTACTTGTTATCACTGAAAGCTCTCGGAGGTTCGCCATCACTGCTCTAGATGGTCTTCTCTCCTACAAGACGGTGGCGGCCTCCTCAGAAGCCATGGCCACGACCTAAGGGGAAGCCCACAGGGGCAAAGCCTGGAGGCCAGCAGCCGCACACCCTGTCACACCTGCCTGCAGGACTGAGTCACAGGCATACCACCGCTTCTGTGTGGACTCACATAGGGCTCTTTCTATTTATTTATAGAAGTGTGTGTGTGTGTGTGTGTGTGTGTGTGTGTGTGTGTGTGTGGTTTTGGTGATAGTGGTAGGAACTGAATCCAGGACCTTCACACTGAGCTATTATCCCCAGCCCTTTTTATCTTGAGACAGGGTCTTGTTACGTCGCTAAGTCTCCCAGGATGGGTTCAAACATGCAGCCCTCCCAGCTCAGCCTCCCAGAGTGCTAGGATTATAAGTGTGCGCCAAAACTATTATTTTTGATTAAGATTTTTAATTTCTTTTCTTTTTTATATTTTGAGACACGGTCTCCCAGTGTAGCTCAGGCTGGCCTGGAACTACACAATCCTCCTGCCTCAGCCTCCCGAATGCTGGGGTGACAGCCAAGCACTCCTAGCATTCTTTACAGCAGGCGCCCAGTCTGCAGTCCCCTGAGCTCTGCCTTCCTGTTTCCCTCCCTGACCTGAGCGGCGCCTCCTCACCAGACAGGGATCTAAGGACTCACAGGGAGGACGCACAGCAGAGATGGAGGCCAGGTGTGGGGTGTGCAGTGCCGGGCTGCACTCAGAGCCCCACAGCAGCCAGTGGCAAGGTGAGCCGGGCAGTTGCTAAGAAGGGTGTGGACTCATGTCCCTGACCGACTGAAGTGATCAAAATACAGGTGAACGGGGCCTGGGATTTGGCTCGGTGGTGCCACCGCCTGCCTCGCAAGCACAAGGGTCTGAGTTCAATTCCCGGTACCCCCCCAATGTGTGTGTGTGTGTGTGTGTGTGTGTGTGTCTGTGTGTGTATGTGTGTGTGTATAGTGAATGTTTAAATTAAAAAATTAGATGTTGGTGTTTGTCTGGGTTTGTATGTGTGTGTTTATAGTGAATGTTTAAATTAAAAAATTAGCCAGGTGTGGTGGCATACGCCTGTAATCCCTGCATTAGGGAGGCTGAGGCAGGAGGATCATCTCAAATTCAAAGCTAGCCTGGGCTACACAGTGAGCTCAAGGCCAGCCTGCAGTACAAAGTGAGCCTCTATCTCAAAACCAACACTTGATCTTAGCCAAAAGGCTACAAACGAACACAAACTGAGTACTGCAGCAGACACTTTGCTGTGAAGCCCCTCAGAAGCCACCTCACCCTCCGTGCCCCCACACACCACCCCCACTCCACACACACTTGTCCCACGGTCCTTGCGGCTTGCCGCAGCAGCTCTGGAACCCTCTTTCCCGGGGGTCTTCGCAGGGCGTGATCAAAAGCACAGTGAGTGCTACACCGAGGGCCAAAAACCTCGGGGACGTCCTCATTCACTCTGCTCACCGGACCGGCACTGCGTGACTCCCGGCTCTTCCCCCAAAGCAAAGTGACTGTGAAAGGTGGAGGCCGGGGATTTAGCTCAGTGGTTCCCCCGCACAAGGACCTGAGTTCGATCCCAGGCAACAACAACAAAAAAGCAAGGTGGACATTGTGAATGCATTCCGGTCATCGTGTTGCTCCAGAGAGAGGGCTCTAAAGCCGCTGTGGAAAGTGGCAGGAACAGTGGGGTTGGCGTATTTGAAGCCAGAGCGAGGATTTCGGGGGGATTCGTGGCAACATGTGACTTACTGTAATCTTTTAAAATGTAAACACTCACCATACTTTTAGATCACGCGTCAGCGAGCAGCTGGCCCAGGCACACACGACAGGAAGCACACCGAGACACAGGGCTCGGCAGTGACAAATGACCAGTGTGGGCTTTTAAACACTTTAGCAAATCACCTCATTAACCCAGCCAAAGTTTCTGGTCTTTTAAAACTGCCTAACAATCTAATCTCACTGGAAGCTGCTTTTTGGAATCGGTTTGAGTGCTGGGATAAGAGAAAAGAAAGCAAAAGCAGCTTTTCTGGCCCAGGAGACTTGCTCTGCCTTAGCTCCATTTCTTCCGGCTCTCTTTCAAATCTTCCACTTTGCCACTCTGCATGTCAATGCCCAGAATGTGACCAGAGCCTCAGATGGCCATGAACACCATCAATGCCTTCCTAGCGGCCTCTTAACTCTGTTCTCCAAACACACATCTGCCCCTCTTACAGGAAAGCAGAACCAACATCTTAGTCAAGTCCCTCACCTTAAAATGAAGAAATGCAGAGATTTGTTTTGTTTTGTTTTGAGACACGGTGTCACTCTGTACCCCAGGCTGGCCTTGAACCTATGGAGATCCTCTTGTCTCAGCCTCCCTGAATCCCAGGATTCCAGACGCACCTCACTGCTTCTGGCTGAGATGTTGTCTTTCACCTCTCCAGGACTCACAAGGCACAGCCCGGCCCACGGTCAAATACGAGCCCTCAGTTTCTGTTAGGTCCTAAAACTAAGAATGCTTTTTACATTTACAAATGGTTGAAAAACTTCAGGTGACATAGAAAGGTACAGGACATTCAATTTCAGCGACCATAAATAAGGTCTCACAGGAACACAGCCATGGTCCTTCACTTACTCACTGGCCCTTCATTGAAAAAGTTTCCTGAGCCAGGCATGGTGGTGCTCGCCTGTCATCCCTGGACTCAGGAGGCTGAGACAGGAAGACTGCAGTGAGTTCGAGGCTAGCCTCAGCCACAGAGTGAGTTCAAGGCCAGCTGAATCATACAGCGAGATCCTGTCTCAAAAACAAAAACAAAAACAAAGAAAAAAGGAAGAGAGAGAGAATAAGGAAAGGGTTTGTTAGCCCCGGCTTAGCCACTGAGGTCAGGGACCTGGGGAAAGAGCCTCCTCCCAGGCTGACATGCTAATGAAGACCGAGGCGCGCCAAAAAGGCACGCACAGTGAGGCCCAGTAGAAGGCCTCCCCTGTCCTCCCTACCAGAAGCGCAGAAGACCACACTACAGGCAAGGCCGGGAAAGCGGAAGCCCTAGCGCTGTATGTGTCACTGTGAAGCACCTCCCCTTCCTTCAAACCCTCCGACAGAGTTATATCAGTCATAAAAGTGTCCCTACCCTTTGCCCTAATCAAGAAAAGTCCCGGAAATTTATCCTGAGGGACACAGCCAGGATACCTCAATCAGCATTTCCTAATAAAGCATCAGGCCCGAGTTGCAAGGTTTATCAGCAGGAAATGAATCAGCACACTGAGTTCCTCTCCTCAGCTCAATACTATTTATCCAGAGCCCAGGGAGAGGTGTGCTCCGTAGCCCAGCTACCCTGGAGGCAGAGGCAGGAGTTCTTGAGCCTGTGAGTTTGAGGCCAGCCTGGGTAACATAGCACGACCTGGTCTCAACAAAAAAAAAAAAAGAGAGAGAAAAGAAATACTACGTTCTCAAATAATAGACAGGAAGACCAGATGCGTGGAAAACTTAGGCTACCATGAAAGACTACAGGCCAGCTGTGGTGGCGCACACCTGTATCCCAGCACTTGGGAGGCTGAGGCAGGAGCATCATCATGAGTCTGAGGTCAGCCTGGACTACATAGGAAGGTCTTGAAAACAAGCCAGGCGTAGTGGCGCTCGCCTGTCATCCCAGTACCCAGGAGGCTGAGGCAGGAAGATTGCAGGGAGTTCGAGGCCAGCCTAGGCTACACAGTGAGACCCTGTCTCACAAAAACAAAAAAATTAAAACTAATATGATCTAAAATTGTGGGGATGGTTGTACAACTCTGAATTGGATAAAAACCAGGCAACTGTATTCTACTAATAGCTGAGCCTCGTAGTATGTGAATCATATCACTAAAGCTGTTTAAAAGAACGTCTGAAATAAGCTCTAGTACTGTTATAAAATTCATAAAAAATCATCAACACTACTTTTGTCTACTATAAGTAAAAATAAATCTCAAATTCATCTTATTTCCATGGTCTTTAGCTATGTTGAGCACAATGCTCTTTTGAAAAAGCTTAGTGCAATTATCTCTGAATCGTTTCCAGCAGATATAATTTTAAAACATTAATTTTTTTTTCACTAACCACTTTTGTGACTTAGGCAATTATCTGAACAGTTTCAGAGTATTTGAAACATCGGAAAGCCCAAGTAATCACTGCCACGCAGAACAAGTGAAGACTTGCGTGTGTGTGTGTGTGTGTGTGTGTGTGTGTGTGTGTGTGAGTGAAAGGGCTTCTCCCACCACCTGCCCCGGCCAGGTCAGGACAGAGCACCTCACACTCCAGTCTTGTTCTTCCCTGAGTTAAGAAGTCGCTTCCTATGGTTTTCTTGTTGGTTTGCTCCTTTGTTTTGTGATTCTGGGATGGAACCCAGGGCCTCTGTACTGAGCTACATCCCGAGTCCTTTATTCTCAAACAGGGTCTCAGCAGCCAGGCAAGATGGTGCACACCTGCAATACCAGCACTTGAGAGGCCAACCTGCACCATATACCAAGACTCTGTCTCCAAATAAATAAAATAAATAAGGTGCTAAATTGCCCAGCCTGGGTTAGATTTTCTAATCCTGGGATTACAGGTTTACACCCACCACCACACCTGTCTTTGTTTGGTTTCTGGTCCCGAAGCACGTTGGTTGCATGCTGGGTGAGTGTTCTACCATTAGGGAATCGGCACTTCTCCGGCTCCGCGTGCCAGAGATCCCTGGGCTCCTGCATCCGGCTCCTTTGGAGTCTTGTCCCTCCCCTTTGCCACTCTCCTCACAAGGTTTTTATGTCTTTGTGTTTTGAGGGACAGGGTCGCTGTATAGTTAATTCAGGCTGGCCTCGAACTTCCCAGCAATCCTCCTGCCTCAGCCTCCCCGAGTGCTGGGATTATAGGCGTGCACCACCGCACCCAGCTCCCCACTAGTTTTGTGGCCCTGGGATGGCAGAGCTGGTCCTATCCTACTCCCAGCTAGATCTCCAGACTCTAGCATAGTGCAGATGGCACCGAGTGGACACTTCATGGAACCAAGGGCTCTGGCAGGTAGTTTGTTTGCTTTGGAGACTTGCTATTCATCCCAGGCTGGCCTCAAACTCACTGTAATCATCCTGCCTCAGCCTCCCGCAGAGCAGAGTAATTAAAGTCAGGTCGCGTGCAAAGGCGCACTCACCTGGCACCCTCCTGAGGCTCAGGGCCTTGAGGGGACCTTCCTGGGGACAGGAGCACCGGGCACAGGGTGCCCAGGGCACGGGTGATGGGGAGAGGGAGACTCCCAGTCCCCAAGGCTGCCAGAGGGGTGCATCCCAGCACAGTCACAAGAACGACACCCAGCATCTTGTCAAATAAGCCATCTCGGTGACTTACTCAGTACTGAGTTCTGGGTTTTGAAGACAGTTCTTCTTAGCCCCAGCCTCATGGTCCCGCCAAGCTCCCCGGGGTTGTGTTCTGGCATATCGATCACCTCGGGAAAGAAAACAGTCCAGGTTTACCACCTTGTGAGCAAGAGAACCGCCACATTGCACGCTCTGCTCTTGTTACTGGTATCGTTGTTGTTGTCAAGACAGGGTCTCACTGTGCGGCCCAGGCTGGCCTCAAACTCATAGCGATCCTCCTGCCTCGATGACAGTGACATTGTCCTGGGATGACAGGCGTGGAGCTCACAGTTTTGCTAGGGTGCTGGAAGAACTCAGCCGAGTTAGCCGGCCACGCACCACAGGGCCCCACCTCCTCCCTGGCTTTTCTCCCCCACACAGACTGCCGCGGGTCAGGTCGCACACACAGAATTGCCTGAGCTAAGCGTTTCTGAGAAAACGTCCCATCTTATCAGACGAGGTGGTTACAGCCTCTGAACCGTGTCCTCGGCCCGCCATGGGAGTCGCTGAGGGGTGGGGAACTGGGTCCCCTGGATCACAGGTGCTGCACCTGGCGCCAAGTCTGTCCCCACTGCTAGCGGGGGCTGGACGATCAGTGCAGGGAGGCGATGCGGGCTGCCAGTCTTCTGTGCCTTTTCCAGGGGAGGGTAGAGGGACCGCAGCAGCCAGAGTTCAATGGCAGCAGTCAGGTTAGGATGCCCTGGAGGGTGAGGCCCAGACCGTGCAATAACCAGCCCTAGAGTGGCTTTGTTTGTTTTTGAGACAGGGTCTCATGTTTAATTCAGGGCTGGCTTTGAGCTCACGACACAGCCCAGGCTGGCCTCAACTTCCTGGCAATTGTCCTGCCTCAGCCTCCTAAGCACTAGGATTACAAGTGCACAGTACCACACCTGGAACCCATAGTATTTTTTCTGTTTTCTTTTTAGCTTTTACTTTTTTATTAGTCTGTGTTTGCAGGCTGTCATGGTTACGTTCATTGTGGGGAGCTGGTCCGTGTACAGAACACATTTTAATTCTTTTTATATCTCCTTCCTCCCCCTCCCTCATACAATGGAATACTACTCTAGCATGAAAAAGAGTAAATTTGAGTCCTTTGTAGGACAGTGGATGCACCCTGAGACCATATGTACGGTAATAATTTCCTAATCGGATACACAAGCTTAACTATCACATGGTCTCTCTTGTAGGAGAGAGCCAAATTACAAATAAAGAGCAAAATAAAAGATAGACAGTAGGAAGCAGGCGGACAGACCATTCTCATAGGGGAAGAGGACCACAGTATTATTTTAGTGAAAATGCAAGTTGAAGACTATTCAGGAGGGTTAGTTCAGCCTGAATTACACAGTGAGACCCTGTCCCAAAACACCAAAAAAAAAAAAAACAGAAATGAAACCAAGATGACAGCTCTTTGCCTCTCAGGTAATAAGCAAACTGCCTTGGCAACAATAGGCTAGAACAGCTGTGGCCCCCGCATCCTTCCCAGGCAAAGCCTGAGGGACAGGAGTGCAGCAGTTCTCACACGCACCACCGGCTGGGTACAGGACGACCACAGTGTGCTGCACACTGCTCCCCGGCACCTCACAAGCCCCTAGACTTGGCATCGAAAAGGGAAACACCTGTTCCACCACAAAAGGACTGCTCTGGCCACTCATATGTCCAAAATCCCGGCTGTCAACTGATCCCCATAGTGGTCTTTTCTTTTTTTTCTTTTTTGGTATTTTGACTCAGGGTATGTAGCCCAGGCTGGCCTCAATCTCGCAGCGATCCTCCTGCCTCAGCCTCCCAGAGTGCTGGGATCACAGGCGATAGCTGCCACCACCACACCTGAATCTTTTTTTATCTGAGCCACGGAGAATAAGAAAATGTAAAGGGATCAATAAGTCATAAAGCTTTAGAAGATAGAAAGGCACAAGCACAGGGGAGGCATGGTATTAACCTCTGCTGCTGTTCCCTGCAGCCCGAAGGAAGAGTGCAAAACAGATCTGAGCATGTCCTAGGCAGGCTGCTCCCTCCTCACACCACACAGCACATCCGTGCCCCTACCATCACTGTGGCACAGGGCCTCAGTCTCCCTTCCATACTGGGCCACAGGCGGTGATGGGGCAGGGCAGTGAGTGCCATCACAGCCTAGGCTGTCCCTTCGCTTGCACCGAGTCTTCAGGAGGCCTCCCCAAGCACATCCACGTCCTTGTCCCTGGAACCAAAGGACCTGGAACCTTCCGTGGCAAACAACCCTTTGCAGTTGTAATGAAGACTGTGTGTATGTGTGTGTGTGTGTGTGTGTGTGTGTGTGTGTGTGTGTGTGTGTGTGTGTGTGTGTGTGTGATGGGAATTAAAATCAATGCCTTTCCACTGAGCTATTCTTAACCTTTTTTTTTATTTTTTTTTTTCAGTCTCTCTAAGTCACCCAGGCGGCTCACACTTGGATACTCCTGCCTCAGCCTCCCAGGGCACTGGGTTACAGGCACGTGCCATCTTGAGGGTCTCCAGCATCATAACACAGCAAAGGCGTTTCATGGGCGGGAGACAGCAAGAAGCCACACTCACGCTTTACGGGGAGCACACCCCATACAAGAAGAGTAAAGAGCACCCCGGATCCCAAGGATGAGCCCCATAACCACACAGGCCCCAGCTGGGTCATAACAGGAGAAGACTGGGTGGTGAGGTTACACAGGGGCCTAAGGCAACACTGCACCCCCAGGAAAAATAAACACTCAGTGAACAGTGAACGGGGCCTCAGGGAACCTCCAGGAACCCAGTTGCCAAGACGAAGCCCAGTTAGGCCCAGAGCCAAGGCCAGGAGAAAGTGAACTACGGCAGTTCCAGGAAGGCAGGCCCCAGGAAGGGCCAGGTGAGCTGTTCCTTTGCAGCATGGCTGTAGTTCGGTCCGCAGTCTCTTTGAAATTTCCAAGCCTGTGACCCCAGCAATCAGGACGCTGAGGCAGGAAGATCGCCATGAGTTCAAGGCCAGCTTGGACTACCTAGCAAGACCCTGTCTCAAAGAAAAAAAAAGAAAGCCAGCAATGCCCAGAGCTTGAAAATAAGTTACTCTTGGTTTTCCTAGGAAAAAATCAAGTCTGCCCAAAGATCAGGCAATTGAACCGCAGGGTGGTAAGTAACCTTTGCCCTCCATTTTTCCATAAGCAACTTGTGCCTGACGTGCGGCCCTTCTCGTTTCACGGTGCACTCTGGGTGCACGCCCTGCATTTATCACCGGCGCCATACAGTTTTAGTTAATGTTTCATGACAGTATCTAGTAGTGGATTCCGTGTCTCCGGCCACCGCTTCACCCTCCTCCTCTGAGCCTGCAGGGAAGGAGACGTGGCTGTGAGCATGAGTCCGCCATGTAGCCAGGCCCGTCTCACCCAGGGGCTTCCCTTGAAACAGGAGATTGGAAGCCTGAAAGGCTCTCGCTCTCCTGTTTTGTTTTGGTTTTTGAGACAGGGTCTGGTCTTGAACACATGGCGATCCTCCTGCCTCAGCCTCCCCAGTGCTAGGATGACAGGCGTGCTCCACCCACCCTAACTGCAGGCTAAAAAGCTCTTCACCAATACTGCACCAAGGGCTTCTTAGAATGCATATGTGTTATATGCACCACATGTCTTGTGCAAGACAGGTGTGTTTCTATAGAACATGTTACCCATCATACACTCTATGGGTATAAAACTTACATTATTCAAATCATCCCTTCGATGTAGACATGAGAACAACAATAACCTACCCATCAGTTTTGGCTCTCGAGTGATAATTTGAGAGAACAGATGATTTAAGATGCTGGTGGCACACACCTGTCATCCCAGCACTGGGGAAGCTGAGGCAGGAGAATCGCCACAAGTTCGAAGCCAGCCTGGGCTACACAGTGAGATCTTGTCTCAAAAAAAGAAAAGAAAGAATGCTACTGAAGCAACTGGGGAGATGGAGTTGGGCAGTGATGACGGCTTCATGGTTACACAGGAGAGTGTCTTTTCCCTGGGACACACGCTGAAGAGCTGGAGGCGGCGACTTATTTTCATGTGGTCCACAAAGACAAGAAGTGAAGATGGATACATTAGCCATCCGTGAAAGTGGTCAAGCGATGGATGCGTGTTCTCTGTACTACTCTTGCCACTTTTCTGTAGACTCGAAATATTTTTTAAAGAGGCTGGGGAAAAAGACAGTTCCCGCTATCATTAGTCACAAAAGCCCACTTCCTCCCAGGAGAACAGAGCCTACACATCGAAGCACTGGAAACTGTCTAAGAAGCGAAGCCAGAAATCAGAATACGTTTGGTAAAATCTCAGTGAAACCTGAAAGGCCCATCTTAGCCCCAGCAGACTTAATCTAGGTCAAAACACCAGCAGCCTGGGCCCGGGGATGTAGCTCAGTGGTGCTGCTGTCTGACTCGCAAGTGCAAGGTCCCGAGTTCGATCCCTGGTACCAAAAAAAAAAAAAAAATC